TTTATTACAAGGGGATTCGTCGCTCGGTTCGCGTTTTACGGACATTATCGGCGGGGCTTGTCGTCGGCCAGGCATTTGGCCCTTTATTTTCCGACTTCGCGGAAGGAAGAAAAATAGACGATGTTCCTCGCGGCGCCTCAAGATCGTTACTTTCCAGATCTTTCTCTCAGTGGAAGACAGAGGAAAAGGTCGGACGCATTTTCGCGGCGCATCGATTACGGTATTCGGTAATTTTGTGCTCCGCCGGAGCGAGATAAAAAAAAAAAAAAAAAAAAAAATATATCACCGCGCGTTATTTCGGCACCGTCGATTCCCATGGAAGAGGTGCTCGACCGGAAATGAAAATGTGATTGTTCTCCCAAATTACGTTCGACTGATTTGATACGGGTGAGGAAAGAAATGTTTGTTACTCAGTCATTGGAAAGTCGGCGCATAAAATCATCAAAATAATATAAACGTTATTGATTATTAATATAATACGCATACATATCTAAATAATAACATTAATTTTAGACGTATATAATAAATTTATGCATTATATATATACGTATATAAAATGATATAATTTATAAAATATAAATCAATTTTAATACATATTTAATAAAGTTTTAAATAAGACATAGTCATTTGTCAGATAAAAAATATTCTGTCAAAACTCGTTTTTTTTTTTTTTTAAATTTAGTGGAGTTTTCTGTGCTGAAAATTTGTGTTTACTCAGCTGAGAAATGTCAAAGCGAAGAAAAATATATCTATGAATTTCAAGAAGGTTCGCTTCGCGAGACAAGCCGAGGGGTAAGAATCAAATTTGCTGTTCGATTTGTGATTGATCGATTGTCCGGGGGGGTAATTCCACGCTTCACCCGAACGTACATTAACAAAGGGTCGTAATAAATCGATTTTTTGATACATCTTGAGAATTGCGAGTTGAAAAAATAACAAGTAGAAAAAATTGCGACTAGAATCTGATTTTGTCATTTTTCTTTACAATATGTCAAATATATTTTGTGTGTGTTACTGATTATGATTATTACACTGTGAACCAAAGACATTTCGTGAAATACTCGAAGGATCAGTTAGGTCGGATTCGAGCGACGTTAATAAAGTACAATTCTCTAGTGTGTTCTTCTTTTTCTCTCCGACTTTCAGAAGAATAAAACGAAGCGAAATTAATTGAATTAGCGTAGATAGTTCTCTCTTACAGCAGAAAATCCGTTCACAAGATATTTTCACCATTTAAAAAGAAATTAACAATAAAATTCTTTGTAATACACTTATATCACACACGCACACACACACACGATAAAGGAAAAAAAAACAAACGCTCTCGCAAGTCTTACAAAAAGTTATCAACGAATTTATCTAACCGCCAACTTAGGTTCTACGTTTGCGAGATTGGATCGGCAAAGAGAGAGGCTGGGTTCTCGATACTCTCCTACTCGATCTCGAGCCTTTGTAAGTCGCGCTGTAAGTCGAGAATGAAGATACCAAAGGCTGCTTGCCTTTACCTTGCTTGAAGAGGCAAGAATAAGAGGCCGAAGAGGTTCGAACACGCTTGAGGAACCGGAAGAGTCTCGATTCCGGGGAACTTTAAAGAACAATCGCCCACTATACACCGCAATTCTTATTTCAGTCGTTGTATTCTTTTGCGCTCGCGCGCGCGTGCACACATACACATACACAGAGACGTTCGATATCACAAAAGTTTATTATTACATTATTCGGTTTTTTATGTTTTTTGCGGCGTTCGTGGAATCAAAACATTGCGGAAGGAAAGCTCGGTTAAATTAATTTCAAAGATAATTTCAACACACACGCGAAACATCTCTGTAAATGTTTATCTCTCCGTAAAACTTTTCTTTCTCTTCGGTCTCTTTTGTAATTATCGAAGTAATTACCCGATTTATAAATCGATCTGGCGCACGGGCGCTTGTAAACAAGTAATTGACCATAACTATATAAATGTACGAAATCCAGCCGACCGGAAGTCTGGGTTCTCTCGGATGGTTCGGAAGATCGATAAAAAGATTGGCGGAAATTCTCGCTCCTTGAAGCTTTGTGCCACGTCTCCTAAATCGAAGGAGGAGGCATCGAAGGCAGTCTTTCCTAACCAGCAAGAGAAATCCGAACACAAACCATTCTTATCCGATTCGAATAACTTTCAGAAACATTTCTCTCTCTGTCTCTCTCTCTCTCTCTCTCTCACTCTTCTCTATTGTTCAGTGTCTTTGTTTACACCGCCCTCTTGTTTCTCGATAATTAAACGGGAGTCGATGTGTTAATTAAATTATCCCGCCGTGTTTGACACGTGATGTGACAATGAGAGATACGTTGCCATAATCGATAGTCACTTGAGCATTCATTAGTCGCAAATATCACGGCGTAATATCATACAACGATATAGCTAGCGTAAAATTAACTTGATATGGTTATTTATATTTTAATTATTATTTAGTTATAATTTACAATGTGTGAAACGGATGTATGGAATTGCAAAATGAGTGCGGTTTACACATACCACATTTGTTTCAAAATACAGATTTTGCTTATTAGAGAGGAATTTCAAATGACAACGAGAGGTGATGATTTATTGACGGGTTCGTTTTTTCAATCTGATTGCGCGCCCATTGATGAAAGAAGGAGATTTATCTCAGAATAACCATTTTTTTTTCTTGACGCGTACATTTCAACTGTCTAGACGTATTATCCTTTGCTGATAAAAGTTATAAAATTTTAAATAACGATTTATCATTAGAAGAACGAATGTTTTCTTCGCGCAGTTCAACCGTTTACCTCTTTCGCGTCGTCGTTTCCATTTCTCGCCGCGCAGGGGATTCATTTCTTCCCATTTTGCCGTCCGAGAACATTTTCTCTCGCAAATAGAATGGTAGGAACAATTAACAAAATAGCGTTCGAATCGGCACGACCGCTAAAGTTAATCGCGACATTATCGTTACATTTAACGTGATCGAAGACGATACTTACTTAACCCGTTCTTAAAGATCTTTTAAAATTTCGACGATATTTTATTGTTTTTATTTCTTTTTATTGCGTGATGACATTGAGATATACCTAACGTATAAAGCGGTATAGAGAAGGCACGTCTATAAAAAAAATAAATTGAAATAAAATATTAAATTTTTTCACTCAAAAAAAAAAAAGAAAAAAAAACAGAAAAACCGCTCGCTGAAAAGTTAAAACGTGCAAATTTTCTTCCCACTCTCTCTCTCTCTCTCCCCCGTAGCTTTTTCATTTTCAGTCCCTATTTCCATTTCGAGTGATGGAAAAAGAAGCGTATTCCACCATTTCGCATTCGATATTTACTGCCGACCGCGAGACGCCATCGCAATTTTTAAAGGAACGTCCTTAAAGGTGTTTCTTCGCGCGCGCAAAGCGAACTCCGGGCGGTGGTTTACCGGAGGCTATTCGGATATTTCCAACCCTCGAGGCACGACAATTCGTATCCCCGATGAAAACGTTGCCGACCTAAACGAGCTCTCCGCGATTCCGAGGGTGAACGCGAAAAAGCAGAAGAAACGAACGAACGAGCGAACGAACGAACGAAACGAAGCTCCCGCCGTCGTGTTGCCGTCGTTTTTTTGTATTCTTCTTGCGTTTTTCCGTGCGCGATTCTTGCTTTTACCGGATCCTCATTTATGCGAATTCGCGTTTACACGGCATCAGGTATGCACAGAGGGAGAAGCGGTTCGACGATAATTTGCGAGCACGCGCGTTGAAAAGTACGTGACCCGATGAAACGATCGCAATCTCAACCTTACAAAATAGTCCGGTATTTGCGATTAATATACGAAACAATATCAGTGCCGAAAAATCAACGCTTCTACAATTATAAAGCAATTTGCACGATGTAGATATGATTTCCATTGCTTATGATTGTAATTAAGCTTTTAATTAAACCGCAAATTGCAATAGGTGAAAATTCTTGTGCTCTGTTCGTGACACAAGTACGTATACACGTAAAGTAGACCGTAAAGTGAACCCTCGTGTGTGTTAACCCTTCTTTGCATGATTTTTTTTTTTTTTTTTTTTTGTCACATATTTAGTTTACAGTTTTTGAGTACCTTTTTTTCTTCACTAAATGTTATGATTAAAATTTCCATCATCATGCAAAGAAGGGTTAAGATTGTACCTGGGCGCGTGTTTGCGTTTTTTCGCACGGCACTCTGCGCACGTCATACATTTTAAAAAACGAAGCAAAAAAAAAAAAAAAAAAATTGTAACTTACATCGGTCGTAGCGGGAAAAGGTCAGTTGATATTAGATTCGAAACGTTCAAGATCAGCAATATTCCTTCGAGCCTTTCTTTCCCTCTTGCATTCCTCAACGAAGAAAAGCTCTTTCGCTGGGCATCTTCTGGATAAAGCCACGAAGGAACGAACGAAAGGTTTGCATGCCACGGCTGCACGAGCGTGCGCTCGATATTCCGATATCCTGATATCGGGAGTGTTTCTCCTCACGACATCCTTTCGCCGCCTTCTACCGGGGATACACACCCTCTTCATGGAATTTATTATCCTCTCTCAACCTGCACTCGATGCACCCCCTACGCTACGGGGATCCTCTGGAGACCACCTTGCCGAGGATTCGGCAGTTTCCACGCCGCGATGCCAGCTGTTTTTCCATGGGGCTCCAAGTCGTGGAAAGTTCTGATCCAGCTGGGGACTTTAATAGCTCTTTCGTTCTCGGGAAACTCTTGGGAACGAAATCCCGTAATCGATTGTCGTCGGAACTGATAAAAAATGTACGGATAGAAATGGCTTTCTCGAAACAACGCGCGAAAAGCTCCACGATTACGATACCATTAAAGATTCGTACTTGAATCCTTTGTTTGTAAGTTAATATTTTTGCGTTTACAGAAGGATTCGCAAAATTTTACTTTAGCATAGAGATTTTTTGTTTCTCTGTTTAAAAAGTTCAATTGTTTCAATTGTTTAATATATTTTATAATACAACTCATTGGTTTATCTGCTCTGTTTGTTATAGAGATTCGCATGTCAATATCACGCTGTCTGATGTCTTCGGCTGCGCATCAATTCGATTGAAGCACTGCAGTGTCCCTTCGGCTACGCTGAAGGGTCAGCGTGCGCGGATGGTGGATCAGCAAAAAATGCGATAGAAACGCGCTGGAGTACAATCGAAAGAAAAAGAGACGGCGGAGAAATAGGAATAGGTTTATCCCTCCCTCTTCCCCCCCAGATGAAAGAGCGCCATGTGCTCGGACGCACCGATCTGGCGGAGGAGGGTTACCCTCCTCGGCATAATGTTACTGCTGCTGCTTTTGTGGGAAGCGAATGCGGCAGAGGGCTGCCCGAGTATGTGCGCGTGCAAATGGAAGGGCGGGAAAGAGTGGGTGGAGTGCGCCAACCGCGATCTCAGAGGGTTACCACAGGGCGCCCGAGAAGAAACGCAGGTGCTCGATCTGTCTGGCAATCGCCTGGTCAGCCTGCAGCCGGAGTGCTTCCACGCTCTAGGCCTAATTAACCTCCAACGACTTTATCTGAGCAAGTCTCACATCATTCAGATCGCTTCCGAGGCGTTTGTTGGATTAGTCGGGCTGGTAGAGCTGGATTTGTCTGAGAACAAGATTGAAAAGGTGCCCACGGAGACGTTTGCGTCCTACCCGAGTTTGATGCGACTTATATTGAACGGAAATCCGATTAAGGAGATACGCAAGGATGCGTTTCACCGTCTGGTACATTTGACTAATTTGGAAATTAGCAAATGCTTAATAGAAGTCATCGAGGAGAATGCTTTTGAGGGTCTTCAGTCGCTGGAGTGGCTCCGGCTGGACGGCAATCGACTTACCCACGTGCCTAATCACACTTTGCCGTTGGGAGGTAGTCTCAGGGGACTGACTCTTCACAATAATCCGTGGCAGTGCGATTGTAAATTGAGGATTCTGCATAGCTGGTTAAAGGAATCGGCTCCGGCAGCTCCGCAGGAATCTGAGCCTGTTTGTAATTCTCCAGCAAGACTAAAAGAACGACAAATAAAGAGTCTCAAGATCAATGAACTGGCCTGTCTACCGCGTATTGATCTTCAAAATCATTTGGAGATTTACGAAGGTGGAAATGTCACTCTGCAGTGTGAGGTTTACGCGATACCGACCGCTAAAGTCTCTTGGTGGTTCAACGGGGAACCGTGCGAGCTGCAGAACGAGAACGATTCTATGGCCAACAGTATTTCTGCATATCCAAGGTAAGTTAATATCAAATTCTCGTCAGAAGCTTCGTCTTGAAGCTGTATTTTGTTTCGAACCGCATTCTCTTTGATCTGTTACAGATACATCCATCGGCAACGAGGCGGGACCAACATGAGCAGTGCGTTGTTTCTTTACTCGGTCGAATCGCTCGACGAAGGAATCTACAATTGTATCGCGGAGAATAACGCGGGTTCCGCGGTAGCGAATCTCTCTCTCCGTGTGCTTTTTCGCGAAAAATCCACAATTGAACCACCCGTAGACAATCCCAGTTCCGGTTATATAGTCGCGATAGCAGCGGGTGCGCTGGTAGGCACTCTTTTCGCTCTAACTTGTCTAGTGGGAAGCATAATATACTGTGTGAAGAAACGGCGTCGCGATCGCAAGCGCAACTCAAAGGCGCTGGTGACGCAGAGCAAGTCGGTGCTACCAATAACGAAGGACACTACCAGCAGTTCTTGCCGTAAGGGAAATGGCAGCCTGATCGGCCTGGAACATCAACAGATGGTCTCTTATACCGAGCGAGAGATTAATCGCGCGGCCACTCTGGAGCGCCGAGAACACTCCAGAAATAATTTGGACCGCAATACGTATCCGGTGGCCAGTCCGGTCGCCAAATACCTGACCGAGCCGGATCTTATCAACGAGGTGCCCGAAAACACCGAAGTGGGTTACGGTCAACTCTACGGACGACATCAGCATACCAGTGGTGCCGATCGGCAGATCTTGGAATATGACTCGGGTTATCCGTTACAACCTGATCTGCGGCCACCGCCCGTTTTGCCGCAGATGAGCTACCTGGACCAGGATGGCTATCCGTTGAATTTCGGCTTGCCCAAAATCTCTTTCACCGCCAGCACTCTGCCGAGACTTCGACAGCGTATGGCGGAGCCCGGCTCGGCAGCGGCGCCCGCAGCCAGATACTCGCGTGAGGCTGAGTTCCTCGCGAGATCACCGGGTTACGATCCCGTTTTGTCGCGAACCGATGCTAGGTACACTGTCGAAGGCTATCCCTATCCGGTACATCAGCATTCGCAGCTTCAGCAACTTCCACAACATCAGCAGCTTCAACAACAGTCCCAGCAAAGGATGTCATCGCCGCCGATTCAGCCGGTCGAGCAGCCAATTCAGCAGCAGTTGCCTATTCAATCGCCAGTCTCGCCAGTTGCCATATTCCCGGAAGTACCATTCATACCGTCACCTCCGGCGGCTTATAGAGGCGAGACGACTCCCTTATCACCGAGGTCTCTTCTCGGTAAAACCGCTCGAGAAGCCGCAGCTGCGGCCGCCGCGAGAGCGGAAGAGCTTCAACCACCGAATCATCCGGAGAGTCCTGATGAGGGCTACGTGGGAGACGCTATGGATGTGTGAAGAATCGCTAATGCCGGTGAAGAGAAATCTGTTGCAAAAAAAGTGTGAAATATGACTTTATAAACTGACTTTTTTGTCTTTTTTTCTCACGTAATTTGATTTTTACGTTTTGTAAACCTACTTTGAAGTTTTATCCAGGACCAAAAACTTTCTCTCTATAAATAATCTAATGTAATAACTTTTACTGCTTAGTTTCTTAAACAAAAGCGAATATATAGAAAAGATGAAGTTTGAGAATAAGTGTCGCACAAATATTTTGATCGTTTCGGAGAAAAAATATAAAATAGGTTGAAAAAACTTTGTGCACAAATTTGTTATGTATCACTTGTAACAAAATAATCGTTATAGAAAGAAAACATGTTTTTGTTTGTTAACATTTATTGATTCAGCACAAAACATTGTCTATTTATGTATATTTACATTCCAAGTTTCGAATCACTTTTACAATCTCTTCTCGCGCGCATCAGACATCAGGCATGAAGACCTTAACGAAGCTACGAACAACCCGAATTACCGACATCAAGGAGGAAATCTGTCCTCGTCACTCTACCAGATTAATTCACGGAGGATAACAGGGTCCAGGATGTGATTGGCGGAACAGGGCCACCCGAGACGGGTGCGAACAAAGGACTCGTCCTGGTGGTGGAGACGTAATAGATTAATCAGAAGGCATGTCTCGAACGTCGTTGCGGTGCACAGTTCTCATCAGAGTTAGGGAGGACAAGACAGATGTTCGCCTAGGACTACGCAGCGATTCTCTCGCGTTCGCGCATCTGAGGGAAATCGACTTCAAAAAATTTACGCGGATCGCTTTTATATGCGGTGAATGCTTTTTCGGACACCAAAATGGCGACCGGATTTATTTAAACGGCGTGTCGCGCACTTGTGAAATACGACGACGACCGTTGGACGCGCTCCAAGGAGAAACGTTTCGATTCGCGCTGAAAAGGAACCAAGATGGCGTGACTGATCCTTAAAGTGATAGATAAATGTTTGGCGGACTCGATCGGGTGAAACGCGTCTCCGAGATCCCGCGCTTTCAGTGTCGCGAGCAAGGACGTGACTGGTGCTCAAAATGGCTCTGGTCCCACCTTCTCTCTCCTCCACCCAAAAGATTTGCTTAGAAAATGTGAAATTAATTAAAATTAATTGTTCATGTCGATCAAGGAAAATTTTAACAGTTACGATAAATTGGTGATTGCTGGAGGAGCAAACTCAATAAGGTATAACGATAATAATAATAATAATAATAATAATATTAATATTAATATTAATAATAATAATAATAATAAAATAATAATAATAATAATAATAATAATATTAATATTAATAATAATAATAATAATAAAATAATAATAATAATAATAAAAGTGTCCGTTTCACTTACAAATATTACGGATATTTGAGAGAATATTTTACATTATGATTTACATTTTACTGCGTCATCTATGTAACACAAGTTTTACAAAAAAATATTTTACAGAGTTTTGAAAATCTTATTATTATATTGAAAAAAATATAAAATTTTTATTATTGTGTGTTCTTTGTGATTGTGTACGAATTGAAGTGATTTTTATACAGTTTTGGTCATCTGTGACAGCTCTTCGAGCTTCGCTATTGTTTAAAGTTGAAAAGAACATTACACCTCTGTACACGAGGTGCTCGGAAAATCTGCTCAAACCATCCTCGCACCCTCCGACAGCACTTTGTTTTTAGATTTACAGAACAAAACGGTGATTTTGATCGAGAACTCTCGACCTTCGGCGTTTCAAGCGGAAACGCAGTTATAGCGGTTCTGCTGTAGTGATAATAATGTTAACTTGGTGTTTAAGACTGGTGAACTGTGCGAGAGATTAGGAGGCCATCAGTGGCGCTCGACCTGATGTACAGAGATCGTTGAAGTACAGTTGACATACAAAGTGTTTCGAAAACAATGTATACCAAGACCATAGAAACTTAAAAAACAAAATTATTCATTTTGTAAATAAATTTTAATAAGACAATACCTCTTTCATTTACCACTTGGCTCTAAAATTAACAAATTCAAAGTATATTATGATTTAAAAAGTTGAGAATTGTATATATATATTCTTTAAATTTATAAAAAATTTGAATTTTTACTTTTACAAATTGTGTTTTTATATTTATTATGTTATTTTCTCTCATTGAGTTTTCTATTGTGCGAAAATAATTTTGCAAATTGAGCTTTTCTAGGAATAGTACGTTTTTACTGGAACACTTTGTATATCTATATATACATATGCGTATATATAAATATATATATATATACAACACAGATAGATATATATATACATACTATATATGGGGCGTGAGTAAACATTAAGAAACAAGAACCGGTGAAAGTAGTTATTTTTTAAAGGTGTCTTCGAGATTACGATTCGAGCTGGCTTCGCCCTCCTAAAATAATCGACTGATGTATACGATAAAAATGGAAATTGAATGAGACACTTTGTTTTTGTTCAAAAAAAAGAACAAAAAAACCTAAGATATATGTTGACTATTTTTGCGTAACAAAGTTTGCAAAATTGATAAATTGTTGATGCGCTTATGATGAATTATCATAAGTGCAAAGTGGCACTGGGAAGAATGTGTTTCTAGAAAGTGTCGAGTCCTGGGGATTCCTTTCATTGTCAGAAGTGCTCGGCAACGAGGAAACTGGTTTCCTTCCCGCCGTAATCACGACGCAATTCACGGATGAACAGTGTTTGCTTTCCAGTCTGGCGACTCGCGAGGATATAGAATCTCCGCCTGTGTCCTTTAAACTTTAACCGTCGAAATAACTCGAAATTCGTCTTTTCCTTTGACTTCTGTGTATAACAATATTTCATTTTGTTCCGGAACAGATGATGTATTTACATTTCAAGAAAGTGTGAACACAAATCGACGGTACGTTTTAAATTATAAAAAAGAAACTTCTGATATATCAGAAAAATAATATCAGAAAATTGAAACTTTTATTTAAAATTGTGATAGTTCTTTGAGTACAACAATTTTATAAACAAATATTAGGCGTTTTTTTTGGCTTATTGAAAGTAAAAATTTGTTGTTTCAAATAATGTAACAAGTTTATTGTTTGTAACAATAAACATTATTGTAACAATTTATTGTTTCAAATAATGTAACAGTATTTTACGTAAAACCAGGACAAAATATTTAATAAAATTTCATTAAAATAATTATAATACCAACACTCATCATCATCATTATTATTATCAAAAAATATATTTGTGTGCGATTAAATTTTCAGAATTGCCATACTAGTTTTGAAATGTTGTAAATCGATTTGTGCAAGAAGCGAACAAAATTCTACGCAGTGACGAAATTTTGCAAACAGAGTTTCGCATTTGCCATTTTATTTAATTAGAACTTTTTAAACGAGCTTGCTAACGAGAATAACTTTGACGCGCGTGGTCAATTTTGCGAATTTCAATTAATTTGTCGTGAATAGGCAGACCATTAGGCCGTGTTTTTGAGAAAAGTGCGGCGAAAATGTGGTAGCCATGCTACACGCTGACCGTTAAAATCAAATTTGGGCTTGACGAAAACTGTTACGGCCTTCATCGTTCTCTCTAGTTTCGGTTTGAAAATATTCCTCTTATATTTTGCACCTTGCGCAAATTTTGTTTGGTTTTACGCACACATTTATCTCGAGCTAGAAAAACATTTGAAAAAGAAAAGCAAAACATATCGAGCAGATATTTAAACATTTTGTTTCGCGTATGAAGAATTGTGAAAATTATATTATTAACAAGCATACACTGTACGCTATACATACACTTTTTTTAAAATTCTTTTTTCAAAAAAAAAGACATTTGTGATTTGAATAAATAACGTCGTAAAATTTCTCGAGGTAATATATTTCTTGGAGAAGAGAGAATTTTTAAAGTATAATTATAGTTTGTTTAAAGTAATTTAAAAATCAGAAAGATGTAAATTTATATATTGAAGTTTTTAAAAACAACACTGTTTCAGAAACTATATTGTTTATTGATGAAAAAGTTTTTATAGATCTTTCTAGATACATTGCCATGCATATTCATTCGTATCGATTAAAATCTAACAAAAGAAAAATAAAAACGCCAAATATTCAAAACAATTCTCTTGTGGAAAAAAATCTAAAAACTAGAAGTTTTCATTTTTTTTTTTTTTTTTTTTTCCACTCCAACACGCGCCGTTTTTTTTATTGCGAATAAAAATTTATCATCGCAATCTGTCGCATTCTTCGTATATATATTTATTTTCGCCAAATTGAGAAATCAAACGGAGTTAAACGTGGATTCAAGAAAAACAGTGATAGAGTTTAACAATCATGCTCGCAGGGCATTCGCTCGTTTGCATCTCGTCCGAGATAAACGTATTCCTCTATATATCGATTTCTTTTTACTTTTTATTTATTCCTTTTCGTTGCGCACTAATTATAAACGTCAAGCCGTGAATCTGTTTCGGTAACGATTTCCGTTTTTTTTTTTTTTTTTTGCAAAAACGCGCCAGAAAGCTTTTTCAAATTTTTCCGAGAATCTGCCGAAGATGTGAGATATAGATTTTTTCGAAAATGTATTTCATAAGGAAATTATACGAACCGGGGGGTGTTATCGTCTCGTAGAATTTCCAATTGTTTCAACTGTCTCAACGACTTTCAATATTTTCGGTGCAGATGGAAGAACACTCTCAGAAACAAAATTCCGCTCTGATAAATCGGTCGAATTAAATTTCGCAAGGAAATCACACGCGCAGAATTTCATCGCATAAAGACTTAGCGTCCCGAGATCGGTCGTGAATATTAATCGGCTTTCCTCTCACCCAAACTCGCTCAGTGAAACATTCACGCGCCGGGGAAAATCTCGCGAGGAAAGGGGGCCGCCCTATTAACTTCCCTCGCATTCAAAACGCGCTGCTACGATGCTTTCCAGTAAATGTAATCACACATCGATGCATTAATCAGCTGCCCGACGAAACTCCCGGGTAACTCTCCCATCCCCCGTACCCAATATGCACATCAGAAGTTGAAGATAGTGACAGCAGCAGAATTTCTCGGTTAAATGGAAATGTTCCTTCGGGAAATATCGCGAATTGTTTCGTTTTGTTAATTGTTGTTACATTTACATATTTGTACTTCGCGTTTTAAACTTCATGCGAATTCCAGGAAACGTTTACAGAAATGTAAAAGTCACAAGAGCGCGCGCTGCACGGAATGAATGTGCATATAGAGCGACGCATAAACTCCCCCTCAGTCGATCTCTTTATTCACTTGTTCTTTTATATGTAAGAACGTCTTAAAATAGAATATTCTCCTCGCTGGTAAGTGTACGCGCGAGAAGTTCATGAATTCTCAGGTTTGATTAAAATGAAAAGTGTGTTTATGACAGGAAGCAAAGGCGACGGAGAAAGGAGGGAGGAGGAGGGGGGAAGGGAGAAGAGAGAGAGAGAGAGCGGATAATATTAAGTATACACGGGAAAATGAGGACCGAAGCCACACTCGAATCGATCTCCTTCGAAACCACCCATCCTCTCCATTTTGCCTCTCCTCTCCCACATAAACCACCTTCCTTTTCTCGAACCCGTAAAACTCCCGTGGAGAGTTACGGCTCTCCGACGCTCGCAGACACAATCTTGAATATACAGACAGGCGCGCGCGCGCGCGCACACATACACACACACACACGACGAACACTCGTTCGTGCTCACTTACATACGTACATACATACATCGACACATGTATACTGTTTCCAGGTACACACGATGTTCCGAACGATTGAGCAATACGATTTGTATTACCGTGTATAACGTAATGTATTCGATTCTGCACATGTCGTACGTACTTTGGATGTAGCGAAGGATTTTTCACGACTGATATGAGATTAAAGGAATAAAGATAGCTTTTGTATTAAAGCGCGGTTTGTGCATTATTATTGTTATTATTATTTTTTTTTTTTGCGTGCGCGCTCCGCCACGCACCGCAGAATCCCTCTTCCTGTTTTCCCGGCTCTCTCCAGTCTTCAGGGATAGATTATGTGAGCACGTCTCCTTATGAATAATCCCGACGGTTAGCCGACAAGTTTCATGATAATGTGACACTGCGATATCTCATTCTTTATAAGAGAGTACATATCTTAACAGATTAAAGATCATCACGATGTTGAATTGATTATAGTCTCTGCTAAGAGAGTCCGCTTGTTTTTTTTTTTTTTTATTTCTAAA